ATGTTGGTTGCCTGCTATCCTGGAGACAACCAAAAACCCTTCTCCGAGTAGAATTCTGAGGATGCCCTCCCGCGCCACGCTGCGAACACATAAGGGCAATGAATCATGGAAAAACAAGACACATCCAAAACTGAGATTTCAGACCTGGATGCCGATTTTGAAGCTCCCTTCTTGTCGACACAAGCTTCTGAATCTGGCATAACAGAAGCTTGCCCGAATCCTATGTTAGACGGTCTTTTCTTTAATCGTGGTCTTGAACAGAGAATCATATATCGACATCCGCATCCGCAAGCCATGAAGGATAACTGTTCAGCCGAACAATACACGCTTCCCCGAGCAACAAGTATTGCCGTGCGCGCCAAGCTACCAAGTCGCCAAGCTTTGGTTTGCAAGCCCCACTCCAATGATTTGCAAACGTCCCAGCGACAGATGAATTGAACGAGCCGCGCAACAACCACGAAACCCTTCCTCCTGGACTGCCGCAAGGGAATGGAGTTGAGTGCAACACATAGAGTTTTCGCCAGTTACACTAGAAACATTAAACCCTCAAACCCACGCTATAACTTTCTGAGCTATGCCCTCAAAGGTCGAGCCACCATAGCGGCGGGACAAATTGGAGTGCTGACCTTGGCTGGAAACCCTCTTCATGACCGCTTCTTGTTGTTCTAATGCTGTGTGTTCGTGTGCTGGAGGTCATCATACAACTTCTACAGTGGGCTTCCTGGCGCAGTAAGCAGCTAGCTGAATGTCAGCTTTAGCTGGAACCTGCAGGTGGAGCCTAGTGAAATTCGTGTGTCCCGCGGCAGTTGAGTCAAAAGGTCTTAACCTGCGAGGATTGCATGTTGTGCTACGTATGTCAAGCGGTCACTGCTACACATATTGTTGGGCGCAGAGTACGCTGCAGCAATGCTAGAAGCATCGAGATGAGGAGGTAATCTAGACTTTCGCGTGTCGCAATAGCTTTCTGGAAGTAGTGTGCCGGTGAAGCTTTCTTTGTGCTGGAGTTGCGGTGTGCTTGCGACAAGCCGCTGAAAGACAGGCTCCATGATATGTAATGTCCTGAAACGTTCTTCAAATGTATCGGGCGAGGCATCCATGGCTTTTGTCCAGACAGAAGTAAGAACACAGGTAGAGTATTACCAGATATTACCAGTAGCCCCGACATCTTTGCATTCTGTTGTCCTGAACATCAGAAAGATTTGCGTTTGTACGGGACAAGCCCTGGCGAGACCAAGCCTTTTTGTTTATGGTGTGAATCACTGCTTCTTGATGCTGTGACTCGACACCTGCTGTGTGTCAACATTGGATGCATGCTGCATTTACGAACTTGCAAACTCAGCTGGTCAAAATTTTCCATGCCGGACCATGCTGGCTAAAGCATTATTCTTGAGGGCTGCTGCCTGGTACGGGAAGTGTTCTCAACAGCAAGTTAGGTTCTGCATCCTGCAAAAGGCATTGTTGCCGCGAAGCCATCTTTTGAGAACCGGCGCTGCCTTGCAATCCTCAACCGGTTCCCTATTTATTCATCGCCTCGGGTGAAGAAGCACCGCGGTTTGAACCCTGGCACTGCTGCTGCCTCTAGCATCAGAAGCCTCGGGATTTTCATTTGCATGCGAGACAACTTACGTTGCCGGTGTGCAAAAAATGAGCCCAGAGTCCTTTGGTTTTCATCCAGCGTTGCAACGCTTGTAGAGCTGGTGCGCTCAGTTGTTGAGTCAAGCAGCCTGCCTCGCGTCATTACATCCAGGACCGCTTCATGTGTACAAACAGATAGATCAAAATTGCTCATGATTCGCATCCGTAGGTGTGGATTTGGATGTATTGTGCTAAAGGAGCATGGGTCATGCGAACATGTGCCAACCCGCCTAGAGGATCTCCCAAGGGGGCACCCTACTCTCTCATAGAGACTATCTGACCCTGTTGGGGAAGTGTCCTCAGTGTTACGGGTGGGGGAGGTTCCCTAAAGCCTTGAAAACCCTTCCCGCATGCAAGTGTGTTACAGCTGTCTAGCCCTCCGCCGCCCCAGCCACATGGCCCTGGGACAAGAATCAAAAGTGTGCCCTGTCGTACAAGACATGCGCGAGGATGTTTGCAGTAGATCAAATCACGACGATGTGACCTGAATTTGAGGATGAGCAGCAGAGTCGAGCTGGACTGGCACAAGATTTTCAAGTACGAAGAGGAGGCTAAGCACGAGGCGATCAAAGCGGTCTGTCGGGTCACAATCGAGTAGCGCAGAAGGGTTTGCCTCAGCCAGGCTAAGTGTCCAGTCCAACAATTCTGTGCTGGCGTGGGGCTAAGTCCTTTATCCCAGCAAGCCAAAAGCTTTTTGGAGTCAAGGCTTGCAGATTGCAGAGACTAGCTTTGGGCGAGGGCCATGCTCCCAGCTTTGAGGGTGCCAGCCACTTTTCACAAGTTGTACGCCAGGCTGATTGCTGCATCTCCTGTACAAGAGGGCGAAGTTCTGCTCGTGCCCCTCATCTACCTTCAGGTCCTTGCAATAAAATGCTTGTGAAATTCCGCGCTTCCAGGTGCCAGGCGCTAGTGCTGGCTCCTCAGGCGGAGCTCCAGGCACAACCGCGACAGTGTGCACGGTGTACATTTGATTGGCAGTGCTTGGAGCATTGCCCGCAACCCACAGAGGCGGCTGCATTGAAAAAGCTGAAAACTTGCTCGCAGGCACGGCTTCTAGGAATGCGACGGCCTGCTAGTAATACTGCCCATGCCAAGAGTGTTACGGACCTTAGCAAGTAATAGTGCTAGCATGAGTCGCTGACCCGAAGGAGCAATATCAGCAGTTCATGTGCTTGCAGGGTGGCTGCGTCCTCAGGTTTCCAGCAGGTGTTTGTTTGCCAGCGCTGAAATCTGAGGATCTAGCGACTCGACGCCTGCCTCTACTCTGGTTGAAACCTGAGACTGAACAGTTTGCATGGAAAATGTGTTCAAAAACCTGCCGCAAAGCTGGACACAGTGCATCCGTCGATCGATTTTTTCCTGAGGACCGTGACTTGCAGAGTTGGGTTCAGCCGTCAAGGCAGTTCAGGAGAGTGCGCGCGCGTTCCCAATGCAAAACTAGCTGTGCAGGTCGAGCGCCCCGAGCGACAGAAGCGTGGATGCGAAGACAGTCGAGAAGGCGCGCACCTCAGGTGCCGCTGAGCACCAGTGACTTTGATGATGCGACAGACACACCTGCTGGCGAGGTCCTTAGCCTGAACTCCTTGGCCAGAGATACGATTTTGGACACTGGAGCAGCCGACCGAAGTCCTGTGTGGGTGTCCTGGAGTCGATTGCAGGGACACTGCTGTGTTTCGGCATCCTTCACAAGGTGTGGGATATGGCTGTTGGCCTCTTTGATCAACCATTCTTGCCGCCCGAATGCCTCCACCTCAAGGTTATGAGAGCACAAAGGGCAAATATGTTCAAGTTCAGAAGGTGGCGGAGCAGTTTCTGGGCGATCTGCTGATTCTTCGGGCTGCCCGGAGTTTGGCTGCTGGTGAGGCATCACCCCATCCTTTTCACCTGTCTTCATTGGACTTGATGGCCAGGAGTTGTTGATGTCGTAGCTTGGCTTCAAGGTCCATCAAGGTCCAAGCCGGGCAGAGCATGGTAGAGCCACATGTTCTGTCAAGGAGCTGCATAAGATGTTGCTGTTTATGCCTGCCTGACATCATCCCTAGGTACGTGTCAACCCTTCAGCAGGCCACCTAAGCATTCTCCTTGTCGGGTGCAGGCTGGGTTCATGCTGGATGGGATTGGCCGGGACCCTGAGGCCAAGACCTGTGCGTCAGAGGTATCTCCAACAGAACTTTGGTTTCTCTTGCAACTTAGCTTGCAAGCAGGAAAGGGGGGCGCAGGCAGTGCGACTTGCTTTTCGCGCAAACCCCGAACAAGAGGTGGGTGCCCGCGCTGTACGCTCGAGGCTGCACGAAGGGAGATAAGGGAGATAAGCTGAGATGAGCGCGCAACTAGCTCCACTTTCTCAAGTACATGTGCGCAAAAGGCAGAGCTGCTGGATGCAAGCCAGGCCGGGGGCTCGCATAGCTTCCGTCTGTGCCGACATCGTGTTTTATCAGCTTGTCTTGAGGTGGAGCCCATCCTGGAGCAGCTTGACTCTCTCGTCAGTTCTGGACGAACGCTCCCTGAGGCGCGAATTTCCATGTTCTTGTTGCCGCACGCAGTTGGCCAATGCTGATACTTGACCAGCGCTGATGGCCAGATGCTTGAACGCCTTGAAGAGTTGGCGCGGGTGTGCCGAAAGGCAAAGAGACATCACGAGTTTACCGCTACCATGCAGACCGTGTATGGATGGAGGCAACTGCAGACGCCTGGTCACAGCGAGGAGGGACCTGGAAGCATCTGGAAGCCATTGGTGCGCACGGTTTGTCACAGCTCACTGTTCAAGGCCAGGTCGTAGCGGCATCTGAGGAACATTTGCTGAGTTCGCTCGCACCTCAGTATCGAAAAACGTCAGCGGCAATTCACTTTGTGCGCTAAAGGTGCTTTCTCCCGATCTTCATGGGGCTCGCATTTGCCAGGAATAGCTCATTGTGTCTTTCAGACTTCTTCCTGATTTCCTGATCATGTCAGGAAGCGCATGGGAGCAAGGCAGTCACAGACTTGGAATGTTGCTGTGCTGCTGCTTTGCGCGGCATGCTTGGCGGATCATTCCTTTTGAAGCTGCAGACAGTTGGCCTGTTGGAGGCTAGTTCTCGAAGCCTACGCTGCCTGCACAGGTTTATTGGCCCAGAGCCCAGTCTGAACACCCCGAGTCACCCCTCAAGCCTCAATTGCTTCTCACACCCGAATAGAGCGTACCGTACCAGGCTGAGGTACATCGCGGAAGCATGCGCCTTGCTGGAATGGAATCTAGTGCCAAAGTGCACTGTCTGCAGACATTTCATTTGGGCAGAGGTATCACGTGCGCTGGTCTCTTGAGACAGCATTGCAGGCCTGCTGACGGATCCGCCTGGCACGCAACATTGACAGAAACCCTGCTGCAGGCCTACCAGCAGGCTGATAGCAATTTCCAAAAGCTCAGCGCTGAAGCTTTGAAGTCGCAGACACAGCGAAGCAAATCAATTTGGCTGACGTGAACCGCGTGCACTTTTGAGGTGCTGCTACAAGTTCGTGGCAAGAGATCGGTCGGACCCAACCCTATTGACTTACCGTTGTGCTAAATCCAGGCCATCGCATGCGAACATGTATAGTGCACATGACATAAGGTCTGTGAAGGGCTGGCTGCCAAAGTTGGTTGGCCCAAGGAAGAGCGGATGAGCGGAGATCCACTCCCTGAAAGCCTCTATCTTTGTCTGTCGCAGGAACTTTTGGAGTCTGCGTTTTCCTTATTCGATCAGCTCAAGGAGGCCTGTTGTTGGTGGAGATCTAAGCGATGATATGCCGAAGACGTCCTTGCTCGCAGGCAGATGTCAGCCATCTGCCTGGATGGAATTACTCAGTAGAGAAGGCTTGGGATCCAGCCTCATAGCCCTGCCCTACCCCGTGATTGCAAAGCTCTGGGCGCCAACTCCATGTAAAGGTTTCGAGGGAGATTTTCCACTTCGGAAGGTTCAACAAGGGTTCTGAAGAAACTGTTGGCTTAGCGCGCGCAGACTCGTTGTCGAAGACCGCCCCAAAGGCAAATGGCAGCAAACGGCAAACTGCGTCAAATTTAGTGCTAGCACATCTCTGGCTTGAGGCTGGCGTTTCTTTGGGGGGGGTGGATTTGAAGAGCTTCCTTGTAAACCCAGGCTGAACAGGACCGACTTTGTAACACCAGCTCCCACTGATCATGTCTTGTCTTGTCGTTTGTCGCCCTTGGATCTGTTATTTTTTTATCAAGCGTGTCATGAAGGTCTAAGGCCCAAATCCTCAGAGCGAAGCCTTGATGTGAGGTGGGATTTGATTAATCGGTTTTTGTTGACTCTATATATATATATATATTCGGTGGGGAACCACAAACTACGAAGCCGCAGGCCATGTTTCATTCCTAACCCAATTTTTTGATTCCGAACCCAATTTTCGCAGTGTCCAGGGCCTGGTGGTTCGCGAGGGCCACCCCCAAAACCCATTGGTATGCAAACCCGGGAAGCACATGACACATTTGCCGCGTAGCAGGCCAGTAGGCATACTTTCCTGCGTTGCCCGAAGACAGCCATGTTCAGAAGCTGGTGTCAGGAGCAGAAATTCATCTCTGTGTCCATTGTGCTGCCGGAAGGCCTTTGACATGAGGGGACAGGGAGGGGAGAAAGCAGAGTAGCCTAAGGCGTTGAGCCAACTGCTGTCAACATCGATCTTGCGCCTGAGAAAGTGTGTGTGGTCCGGCTCCTTTGAATTCTTGCGCCTGCTCTAGCATTGTTTGTGTGGGCATCAGGTTACCTGTGGCTATCCTGACCTCGTCATCGATCTGCCTGTGCCCGTGGAGTCCTCAGCAGCCTTACAATCCAATCCTCTGAAGCGAACAAGCAGAAGAACTTCTTGCCCGAGGTCCAGGCTGCAGAGGCGGAGCCTGCCAAGTACAAGAGGCATTCTTAAGCGGATTCTCCCCTGCAGTGTGGTCGGGTTGTTAGTTGATCTTCCAAGCAGGAGTGGGAGAAAATTTGTCCTCCGGCGCCTGGCTTACCTTCAAAGGTCTTTCTGAAGCGAAGGAATGTCCAAGTCCATGATCAGCGACAGACGGCCACTAGGTTGCCAACATGAAAGTGTCCCAGAAGACTGAGCAGTAGAACGTGTCAACCGGAAAGCGGAGCAGGCGAATTGGATGCGCAATCTTTTTCTTTTCCTTGCAGGGTGGAACTGTCAGAACCAACACCTAGTTAGGTGTTCTTCGGCACAAGCGGTCCTGCGACCAGAGCGTGCAGTGATGCTTGCTTTGGCTCGCGTGGCAGCTTGATCTGAATTTACTAACTCCTGCTTTTACTTGAGTTGACGGTACGTATGCCTTGGTTCTCTTTGTTGTCACAGGGCCTGGAAGGCTGCAGTACTAGCGCTTTGGGCCCAGAACGAGGACTTAAGTCAGATCACACACCACAGGGACTCTGTAACATTATACTTCAGTGTTGCTGTAGCTTCTGGTTTTTGACTTTGAGCATGGCTGATCTTCCGAAGTTGCCGCTGCAGTGATGTCGAAACTTGGAACACAGATTTCGCATGACACTTTCTATCTCGTTGCTGCACTTCTTCTTCTTCTTCTTCTTTGACGGCAATCGTGCCTGCTGGCCGGCTGTCGAGTGGCGGTTACTGATGTTAGGGGTGGCTGATCTCGAGGGACTACTTCTTGTGCATGGGATCCCGGAAGTTGCGGAATCCTCCAGAAAAAATGCAGACATATTGTGGGATTGCGAAGGCCTGACCGGCCGGAAGGGTCGGTTTGGTTTGAGCCAAAATTTGCACAAAGTTCAGGGAATTCTTGCCAGTCAGTCCCGGCACCACATCGGAGAGACATAATGATAGACGCTGCACTCTTTAGCCTGATGCAATCATTATTCATTTCCAGCCGGGCATTTGCTGTGCAGCGCAACTGAATTGAGGCAAGACAGGCGCATCTGGCCGGCCAAGCAGGAGCACGACGAACGCAGGAAGGATTGTTCAGGCCATCGGGCATGTCAACATGAGATCTTTTTGCATTTTGTGATGAGTTTTTGGAGGTCTAAATGAGGTCTAAAGGACTGTGTTGGTTCTCGACATTGATCGGCTGAATTCTCATATAGTTCGAAATCCTATCAAAACGTGACCACGAGATTCAAAGCTAAAACATCACAAGTCAGCAAAATAGCCAATGCCAAGTTGAGGTGTTGTAGAGCTCTTGCTTGAAGGTGGGCCTTGGAACGGGGTGGTTAGCGTATCGGCGTGCAGTCGGCACAACGACTGAGATCCTGCATTCGTGTTGGCGGAGCATGTGGTTGCTCTGGGCGCGTGGCATTCGCGTCTTCGAGGGTGGGCTCCGTAGATGCCAATATCGAGTCAATATCAAGGGTTGCATATGCGGGGTAGCGCATGGCTTGGGTGTGTTCGGGTTTAGGAGAAAGGTATATGTGAGGTAGAAAAGTGTAGAAACAGGTTTCACGGACCTAATTCTGTCGTCTTCAGGCTACAGCGTTTGGTTGCAACAATGATGGTCATTTTGCCGCACTTCCAGCTTCTCTTTATTGCGCTCGAATGTCCGTGAGACGTGCAAGGCGTGGAAGCTTCCAGAGGTGCAGATACCAGGAAAGTGCCTCGAGCAGTGCAAGGTAATGGAAGCAAGCAGGAAACCACAACACAAAAGGAGATTATCACTACAAAATCTGTGAAAACTCCAGGGTCATGGGTTGCTGGGTTCGAATGCGTAAGCGCACGCTGTAGCGTTTGGGCCGCCACTTTGCTTCCAGCTTTGCTAAGCAAACGAGGATGGTGCTGTTTGCGCTGCCTGAAAAATTAAATGCTAAGTAACGGCCCGCAGCCTGGCGCTTGCACACCTGCACCTGGAATGTATTAATAATTTGGAGCAAGACCATTCTACCCATGCGCTACACCCTGCAAAAAAAATGCTCTAAGGCAACCAGGCCTTGCTCAGAACGTGAAAGATGTCGGCGTAACCTTGGCAGGTCAGAGTAGCCTCTGATCAGGACCACTTGTGGGAATAAGGCATTCAAGGAAACCAGTTCCTGGGTTTGCAAGGTGCCAAAAGCCTTCAGAAGTTGAATTGTTCGGATTTTTGCAGCCAGTCAACTCAGCATGAACTGTAAATCCTTTACCGTGCAAACTGAAAACCAATGTACGTGTAGTGCCTGGACATGCAGGTCGTGCTCTACGGTGACACGGCTCCGCAGAAGCAGTGGAAGCTCTCTGCTTCTGATGGGCCTGAGTTCTTTTCCAGCTCACCAAAGTGGCAAAGATCATGTATGCCGTCTAAGGTTGCTAAAGTTGCTCAACCATCTTGTGAATGAAGGTACTATAAAAAGACAGAGGCCCACAAATCGTAACATTCAGCTTCGGAGCAGGGAGAGGTGGTACTGTGGGCAGGAAGCCAAGCAATCTTGAAGCCACAAGGCCATGTCCAAGTAATTTGACGAAGGCGATATGATTTGGATCCAGGCTCTCTGAAAAACAGGTGCAAGTTTGCGTCTTAGAGGTGCACGCCGCGCGTCGTTCTTTGAGGGTTATCGCCATGAACGAATCTGTGTGGATGTTTTGCAGCGGAAGTTCTGTGTATTGACTTCCGAAGGCCTGATCGCTCATCTTGGCCACAGACCCTTGCAAGCCGGAGAACAACTCACAGCACAGCAACGCTCATTTGACCCTGCATGACATCTTCGAGATCGATGCAATAGCTCCAGGGTTCCGTACTTGACGCATGTCAAAACGAGTTGGCCGCAGCATGCACAACAGGTTTGAGATCTGGGGCATGTGCCTAATTATGCTCTATGTTGCCGCACACTCTGATCAGGTTCGTTAAGTTTTTTCAAGAACTTCCCAGTGTTGCCTCCGAGCTGGTAAATGACTTAGACCGAGTTCAGAAGGAACTGCTGCTCAACCTGGAAAAGATTGTGCGTTGCGTACTTCAGTCTGGACTTGCCAATTTCGGTCGAAGAGTAGGCTAGTAGTCTGTGCATAGCATCAAGCAAGTACTACAGACTTCGGTGGCTCGGCTCAAGCTTAGGTCTAGGGTTTGGCAATGTTTGGCAGCCAGCCGCAATTCCAATCACAAAGACTTCTGTTTTGATTGCAAGACAACAACGATTCCTTTTCCTTCAGGATTTCTGGATGCTTCTGGACATTCCTGTCGTTCTGCATGTTACAACACATTTTGCCGACAGATGCACATGCTATTCCGCTACTTTCTGGCTCATGTGATGTATGTTTTGCAAAGACGTTTCAGCTGGAAGTTTGGTTGTGGCGGTCACCGCCGTGATTTAGTGACGATAGAGGCAAGCAAAGTGAAGAGCTGCAGCTGGCTAGACTGTTGCCGTCAATTTAAGGCCATTACTTCCCTTCACGCTCTAGCGGATCTGGCATTCATGAGTTAGGCAAGCTATTTTATGACTGAACTCATGGGCGTCCCCGCTATGTTCCCATGGGCTCGGGCTGCCTGCCCCTTGCGTTGGGGTGTCCATGTGCTTATCGGTGGCTCGAGCTTGTAGAAAGTCGTGTCAAGGCTCAGTGGAGGCGGCGCACGCGACAGTTTGTGAGGTGGGCGGGATGGTCCGGCATTTGCAGAGCAAGTTGAAGAACTTGCCACTGAGTCCTGCAGCTGCGTTGATGACCAGTTCGAGGCTCCTTGCAGAGCATTCCTGTACTGATGCAGTGTCTTTTGAAGTTCAGGGCAGCCGAGTGTGGGCGTGGGGTCCCTAGCCACCATCTGGATAGCACCAATGCTGGAAGTCACAATTGCAGGGCCTATGCCAGGCAAGGTTGCTTCAGCCGATCCTCCTTGGACAGCAAGGATGAGGTGCGGCTAACACAGAAACATGCCATTGCTTTCTGGATGGTCCCCTGAAAGAGGCTGGTGCCTTCGACCACCCGCACCCGCTGTTGCCAGGGGCTTGCGGAGCTTCAGGATCTAGTGCTTGGTTCGAGTTCTCACCTGGCAGAATTTGGGAAGAGAGGGGTATGTGGTATGTGAAGAAACTCGACAAATTCGGATCTCTTCTGTCTCATAAAAGCCTGGAGATGTTTCATAAGCAGATACCAGTGACGACTCCTCAGTGATAGCTGGTAGCATCACCGCCTGCAGCTGGAGGTGGACAAGCACCATTGCTCCTATCAAGAATGTGCCAGTTCTCTCTTATAATCCTCTTAACTTATGGAGGTCAACAACTGCACCACATGAAAGCATACTGAGCAGCGCGAGGAAGTCCAACAAATGTTCATGTGACTTGCAGAGCAGGGAACTCCTCCGCGGCATACTCTCAGCCAGAAGCATCTGATGCAGGTTTTCTTCTTGCTCTCGCTTTAAGATGCTTTAACTGGCGGGAATGCAACGCAGCAGCGTAAAGCCTCTTCTCAGATTTGACATGCTGAATTATGCCCGCTGTTACAGCAACTTTCTCTGTCAATCTGAGGCATCCGGCCAATATCTTAGGATTTGATCACCATCTCATGGATCCACATCAGCTCAGGCAGAAATTTCCGAGAAATCAGATCCAGTTCTTGCAGAAACCTGTTTACCGAAGCCACAGGCTACCCACATTCAAGAACGCGCTTTTCTATTGGGATGCGCATGTGGTGGGTCAGCTGGAGGCTACGACTAGGATCCGGACAGTGCGATTGTGGTTTCTGCACCGAAAAGCTCCAGCACTGCTATGTGCTGCCTTCCACAGATTGCAAACACGGAGAAGTCAGCAACAGCGAGGGCAGACAGCAATACAGCAGCTGTAGATTTTGAGAACATCTTGGATGTCCGTTTCGAATCATGATCACAGCCCGTGAGAGCTCCATCCTTCACCTCACGGGTCTACAGAAGCCTAATGCCGGCGCGTGTAAATGTTTTCTCTTCGAGCATCTGAGGTGCCGAAGTCGTGAGGCGGAGTGCTGCCGTGCCAGGGAGTCTTTTCAAAGTTCCTCCGTGAGGACGACACGCCTCGTGGCCCAACTCCTCCTTGGGTCGTTGATGCCTATAACTACGAGTTGGAAGCCTATGTGCATTTGAGTGTTCCCTTCCCTGCCTTGGAGCGGTGTCTGAGTTCACACTCTGTTTGCTTTATTTTGCTTTAGCCGTCAGGCCTGTGGATAAGACATCCACTGGGGCAACTCCGCCTAGGTGCGTGGTTTGCATCGAGATGGATTTGACTTCGACTTTCGATTTGCCTTGAACAGGACATTGGCCCCAACTCGCTGCTCGCCTCCAGGATTACCTGAGGCATCCTGCAAGCCTGCAAGCTTGGCTCATAAAACGTGGCACCAAGAAAATCGCCAAGCAGGAGCAGGATCAGACACATCATCAGCCCGGGCTTCTAGTCGCCGCAGCCTCAGATGAAACCTGCTCTCCATCTAACTCTTCTGGTTGCTGGCAGGCGTTGGGCGCCAGTTTTTGTCGTGATCTTTTTCGTGCCGCGCGTACGGGTGACCGCATCTCCCTGGAACAGCTGCCCCAGCCTCGGCATCGCAATTACCATGCCCTGTGACAACCGCTCCTTTCAGGATCAAGCGCGCTTGCAGCTGTCATGGTGTCGGGTCCACATCATGCCATTTGTGACTGTTAAGCCGCGGTTCCTTGGCTGCTTTGCAAAGACAAGGCCTACGGTGACCGCCGCATGTCTGGTCAAGTGCAGGAGGAGTCGACAGAGGACTGCAGGGATAATGGGCTTGCACCGTTCATGTCTTCTTGACTGTCCTGGCGCTTTCTATTGGTACATGCCGGTTTGGATTGGTGAAGTGTACACTTCTTCGACATACGCCGGAAGGCCTGCGTGTCGTGCAGTCGGTTAATGGCATCAATGACTGACAGCTCATGTTGCACAACATCAGACTCGAGAAATTCAATTTGAGCAGTGGAGATGCGTTGCAGAGCAGACGTTGGGCAGTGAAGCACCAGGAAGTGTCGAACATGCTGAGTTGAAGCCTGGGCATGAAATCTGGGAACACATTGCCCTTGGCTGAAGTGCAGACGAGGCCTCGCACGAGACGTTGGAACAGGAGAGACGTGCGCCGAGCAAAGCTGAGCCTTTCACTCTGAAGGGTTGAGACTTTGGAATGAACAGGCTCTTGGGGGCAGCAGCTAAGAATGGCCAAGCTGTGGTGGCCACGGACCCACTGAGAGTTACCGCCTGTTGCTGCGAGAAGATGTGCCTTGTGGCAAAGATGGTTCTGTTTCAGCACTGCACGACGCGAGGTAAAGCTGCTGCTCATGAGCTCTTCCAATCCCAGCATTTGCGACAGTCGCGGTCGTGCCTTTGGCAGCATGTTGTGTGGCGGTCTAGCACACGCTCTGGCGCAGTCTCGAGCGCTGTCAGGTATGGCCCTGCATCGTGCTGCTGAGGGTGGTGACCTGTGTGGATCTTGGGGCGTCGGGTGCCTTGAACCTGGACCTGTCCTCAAACGTTTGCTTTCCAGGCTCACGACCCTTCTGTTACTTGATCGCCTACAGAGCGCAGACCGCTTCGTGTCGGTGACGGACCCATTGCTGCATTGCATGTGAACTGCCACCTGCAAAAAGCAGAGAATGCACCACAAGACTCCTAAACTTCCGGACCTCCAGACTCTAACACGGCAGGACTTTGTGGACAATCATGGAGACACGCCTGGAGTAGTTGCTGCTTCGGCGGGCTGCAGCGATGTTTGCGGAGCGTTGGAGGTGTTCGGGTAATGATGACAAAAGTTTGCAACGACCACCCTCGACGAGAGGTCTTTGGAGATATGCAGCTGAATGCAGAGCAGCAGTATGTTGGTCAGCTCTGCAAGCCAGGCCACCCAAAGTTTGACGACATTTCAGCTGTGCTTTGAACAGCCCGTTAGGAGTGCAGAGTGACATCCTGGCTCTGCTAGACCTCGGGCCATGTGCTTACAACGACATCCAAGTCGAGTCCATTTGGATGCAAGCACAAGTCACAAATTCGCCTGCCAGCTGAAAACGATTAAGAGCTTCAGAATGCCCAGATGCGACGCAGACGCTTCACTGCAACGTCTGCGAGAGGCGCAGAGAAGCCAAGCATGCAGCTGAAAACTGATGGGCAGACGCCTCCTGACAGAAGGCTTCACTTGGATCGGCTCTGGTGCCACAGCTATGGCCTCAATCCAAGGCACCTCACTAGCATTTGCAAGGTTGTGTCTTGACTGGAGCCTGCAAGCTCCGTTCCACGATGGTAGGCTGGATTCAATCTTGCAGATGCACTTGAGCAGGCGTGGTAGGGGGGACGTATCTGTGCTTGGACGGCTGGGTTGCATCAACTTGCAGATTTGACAGGCCTGTCATGGAGTGCAGCAAGCAGAGGACTCCCTGAAGGAGTTGCCTCATGCAAGAGGTCCATGAATCCGATGGGAAAGGATATCTTGATGACCGGAAACTGGAAGCCCAGCCAGCATCAATCTCAGATGAGATTGCTGAGCAGCAGCAGCAGCAGCAGCAGCAGCAGCAGCAGCAGCAGCAGCGGCTGAGTACTTTGAGATTGCCTGAACCCAGGTCTGGGCTGCCTGGACTGAAGCAGCTTCTTCGCACACTCGACTTGAGGGTTCGCTGGCAAAGGCAACAGGTCTCTAAAGTTCGCTATGCCTGGCTTCTGTTTGCCCGTGTGGCGAGGCTCAGAGCAAGTGCCACCGAGAGCATGGATGCCGAGGCGGCACTGTGAGTTTCTTACAAGTTCTGACGTGAGTTACTCTTTCCTCCTTTTTGTCAGGCTTGGGATGATTTCTGGCAAACTCACTTGAGAGCGAGCAAAATGGTGCGCTCCTTCGCCTTAGGGGTTGGCAAGCGAGAAGGAAAGCTGAGCAGCCGAGGCCAAGTTGACCCGAGGAGAAGGCACGTGGAGAAGGAAGCCATGCAACAATGAGATTACAACGCACTCAACCGCCGTGAATCAGGCAGCGCTCAACAGCTCTATCTGGGCATCCTCTGGTCGTCCCAGCTAGACTGCATACGAAGGCTACCTTGGCATTGCAGCTGGCAGGCTCTACACGCGTGAGTCGTGGTTGCCGCACGTCATTGAGGCGCTCGCAGGCGCATGATTTTGAGAGTCGGTTCTCAGGGCAAGCGGCAAGAGTGTGTAAGCGCTGAAGGCTTCTTGCGCGAGGGCCCTGCGGAGGCAGGGGCGAAGAGGGCACTGTGAATCATGATCTGGGAAGCTCCCAGGTTGCGGCTCAGCCCCAGCAAGCTGCGGAGGGCGCATCTCTCCAACGTCTAATGCAGGCAGATGCTGAAAAGTTCCATCACAGTTCAAGCTTAAGCACACGTGCATTGGCCTGGCGAGGCACTTTCTCCAATGGCGTGCTGCTGGCACGTTTTTCAGAGTCTTTCGGGTCTGATGCTCAACCCACAAGCTTTACCAAAGCAGGCAGTTGGTCCAAGCTGCCACATGCTTCTTTCGGCAGCAGGGGGTACTAGCTCCAGCTTGCAAAATGCAGAAGTGGGGAGTGCGCTTTCTACTGATCCCTCAGGTCCATCACGAGGGTGTCACCTTCAGACCGCTGGCATGGGACTCAAGCAACTGAGTCTTAGGAGTCCTTGAGTATTGAGATGCTGAGAGCTGAGGTTTTACCTGCAACGCTGTTGAAAAACATGATCGACAGGCCCACCCCAGTTTTTTCTTCGCTCGTTGCCAGACAATTTTCGCATCCGCCAAAACCTGAAAAGTATCGCTTGCTAGAGCTGCGTGTCTTGACTGTCGTCCAGCTCTTTGGCTCGCTCCTTGCTCTTAGGTGGAACGTGGCAATGTGGGCTTTGTAGCTTGATGTGCTCTTCCACTTTCCCGCACATATTACGCAGAAGTATTTTGCAGGTTTTCTGGTGAAAGCTCACAGCCGTGAATTCTGAATGTGCTGCTGTCTCAGTCCTTCTCCCTCATTCTCAGACCTGCACACTCCTCGAACTTGTGCCAATGCGGATATCCTGAACTGGGTGTGGGTCGTCTGTGTCCCGGGAATGCCGCGATGACGTATGGCGGTGATGGTGGTGGTTGTTGTGAGATGTTTCGCAGGGTGGTTCTTGGTGGTGGTGAGATCTGTAGACTATAGACTTGCAAAGTGCTGGGCGTCTGCTGGGCAGGTTTCTGGCCTGCAAAGATGAAGAAAAGCCTGAACCTCTAAACACAACTCGTGCACAAGTGGCAAGATGTGGCAAGCAGAAGCAAGCTTTGGAGAGCCCTCAAGGCAGCCGTCTTCAGCGCAGGCTGCGCCGCCTCACTTTGCACTGCAATGCATGTCCACATCATTAGCAGGGAGCGGCAGCATAGCGTGTGGCCAGGGCCTCGAGACCAACATGTGTTTTTTCCTCAGCCAGAGCCACAGCTTCTCCAGCTTCCCCTTCCTGCCTACGGCTGGAGTTATGAGTTCAGCTTGCTTCAGCTTGCTTGGGGTTGGGTTGCGGGAAGGTTTTATGCTCCAAACGATTCGACTGGGTGACCATGTCTAGCATAGCGTAGCGGTTGCTTCTTCAGCCTGCCTATCACGATTCCTTGACGATTGCAAAAAGCAGGTAGCTGTAGAGCATCGCAGAAAAGACAGTCTTCTCTGCAAAGTAAACCTGAAGCTGATGCATGGGTCCGACCAACAGCCTAGTTTTCGCTGACGACACTTGAATCCTGGTCTGCCGACTTCAGCAAGAAAAACTCGACAAGCACCTGGCTCGCAAGGACCAGGCTCAGCTCCGAGGGGAGCCGGGCCTTGCTTCGCTGCCTGAGGGACAAACTGCTTGCCTGAGGGACAAACTTGCCACGGGCACTCTTCGCCAAGCGACCAACATCAAGAAGCTCATGCCTTCATGTTCTTCAAGAGCATGCTCGACGTTTCCAGATAGTGTATCATTCTTGGATGAGGAAACACTACCCGGATCATCGAGCATGCCCTTGATGAGAAGCAACGCAGGATCAAGCCCAAGAACAATGTGCTCGTCTTCACCGGTTTTCTAGTCCCTCCTGAGAGTTTTAAGTGAAATCTTTCTGGAACATTGTGAAGGTAACTAGGGGAGGTATTAAAAAACAGCATGAGTCTCGGCCGTGCATGCTTCCAGGGAGAGTACGCCACATCAAAGTGTCGTACAAGGGTCAGCGATGGTTTTGCAGACGAGCCTGCGCTTAGCTCTGACGACCTGTGCGTGCATCGCTGCCGCAGCCATCGTGTAAAAAGAATGCTCACTGTAAAAGTAGAAGTTGAAGCCGTGGACTGCTGTGCATTTTTGGCAGAAGCTGTCACTCCATTCAAAAATCTGGAAGGCTACAACCCAGCAGGTTCAGCAGAGTTACCGCAACAATCTAGCAAACGCTGTAGACGGGTGCAAAGCTTTGCAGTTTCTCAGGCCATGGTTCTTTCTTCACATCTTTCGCTGGGCCCCCGACATTCGTTGCAGAGGGTCTCAAGGGCTCATCTCCATGAAGCTACTGGGTTGTGATTGTGTAGCTCGGTGGGCAGCATGCATGGGATTGCACGCAGTTCTGCTTCTTTGACTGCACTCTTTGCATGCTCATCACATCTTCTAGAAACACATGGTTTCAGCGTTAGGCAAAACACGCAGGACAAACAAATAGGAGCAGCCTCAGAGAAGAGGAAACAAGGAGTCCAGGATCCCAGCAAAGACCGCCCATGGGAAGGGACACGGAGCAAAGGGTTCCAGCAAGGGCCATCCAAATGAAGGAAGACGAAAAGAGTCCGGCAAAGTGCGGCAAAGGCCACCCGCGTGAAGGAAGACAGAGGCAGACGAGGAGTCCAGGCAGAGGGTCTTGCACAGCGCATAGAAGAGGGAGGAGCCTAGGGAAGGAGACAAGGAGGCTTGGAACTCTGCAAAGGCCACTCGCATGGACAGGAACACACGCAGAGAGGACTCAGATCCTGAGCGTGTGTGTTTTGTGAGTTCGTGCCCAACAAGGGCGAGATTCAGCAGCCAGGATTTACAGTGGTTGCCCTACATTGGAACCCAAGTCTTGTGCGCGACAAACAGATGACGAAATGTTTTTTAGAGCAACAAGTTGACGCCAAGTGCGTTTTCTGGCACGGTCATGCTGCACAGGCCCACAAATTAGCAGTTTTAAGTTTGAACCTTCTTCTGATCAACTAAAGTTTTCCTTGTGCACAGGTACAGCTAGAGCGCAGGAACCTGACAGAGCGTTGGTTGTATTGGCTGTGCAAGTTCCAAAGCTCTTTCTGGCCCCTGTGTGCCTTCATTCATGGGGTGAAGATGATGCCCGTGAGCTTGTCAGAACACATTGCTTCAGGCTCATGCACGATGCACAGGAAGGACCTTGCCTCGTTGATTTATGTAAAACATTGTAAAACATAAGTATATGCGCACGGGCAATGAAGGAAGTGACAACTTGGCAAGCGAATCCTCACCCCAAGACAAATGATGGCTAGCCATCCCTACGCAAACCTTCATCCCTGAAAAGTCCGATGGTTAGGAAATGTTAGGAAGCTATGAATTTTCCTGAGTCACTCTATTCTGTCTTCTGCATGTGCAACAGAGTTCCTGCATCCACGTGTTCCGTGCATTTCAAAGCGAGGAGGGGCCGATTGTCACTATTCCTTTTCTTGCGAGGCAAAGAGAAGCTGGTCATCGAGTCATCACGTATGTCTTTACTTGAGTGGACCTGTGCCACTGCATTTAGAAATTTCAAGGCAAAGATGGCTTGATCGTTGCATGTCTCTTTTCTTGAGTTTCTTTGTGTCGCAATAGAGTGGGTGGTTGAAATACATTGCCGGAGTGTCCGTTGCAAATCCAAATGGGGAGCCGCAAGAGATAGGGTGTTTCTACTGCAGTTTCTTGGTGTCACGGTACGGCTGTTTCGCCATGTAAAGTAAACAAACGTCCTTGGGTGACGCACATGCCTCTATTTAGCCTCCTTGTCTTTGCAGCTGGATTCCCAACATGCTAAACAATGCTGAAAGAGCCGAAGCCCTTGTTCTAGGCCTCACGTTGCGATGCAGGCAAGCGCCTTGCCCATTGCTCAGCATGGCCAAGGGTCATTCCACAATTCTAGCTCACTCCACTGCAAAATTCTGCAATGCGAAAGCAGAGGCCAAGACCAGTTCGAATGCCTCTTTCTTAATTCTGGCCTGCAAGAGGATTAGACTTGAAGCTTTTGTCTTCAGGTGTTGCTGGCAATTCAAGCAGATCCAGTGCAAACGCCTGAGACCAGTGCCTACCAACCTGTGCGAAGCGCTGCATTCACTGCTGGCAGGTCTCCTAGCTTTCCGGAGCATATGTCTCTAAAGGGCGGTGGTGATGACGTGCACGCGGCTCAGAAGATCGCCGCAGCATGACTGAGCTTGTTTTCATCTTGCTGCTGACTCGTCTACGTGCTGCCCGGTAAGCTCACAACAGCTCACACATGCAAAGCCAGACAAAAGATGCAAGTTTTCAGCCACAAGTGGACAAAGTGCTACTTCTTGCGACGGGTGACCGCCATGAGCAAAGTCTACTTGGAGCATCGTGATGCTCACCATGTGCTTCCGCCACAAACTCCTTCAGAGGCATTTAGAGCAGGACGTGTACTTCCAAAATGTCGTCTCTGTCTCTGCCCGCAGGTCAGCATGGCCGTAGAGGCTGCGGCACAGGACATCGCTCGAACGTACATTTCTTGTGAAGCCGCATGATAACGTTGCCAGAGAGAGGCGATTGCCAACTGCGATGCGTTGATCTTCATGGCAGGCTGGAAATCTTGTAAGAAAGCCCTTTTCCAGCTTGAGGTTTGCTAGCTCTTGCATGGTCCAGGTGCCGGGATGGGAGTGGACAGTGGCTTGCCGGACTTTAGAGGATCCACGGGCCTCTTCAAAGACCGCGAACTTGCCATGACCTACGAGGCACGACTGAAAGGTTAGACCTGCTGGCTTGGTTGCTGGTGACAGGAGATGAGTGATGACAAGTGGTTTGCAGAAGATCCCCTGCGCCTTGCCTGCAGACAGCTACGCAGCAATGGAGTTTTCGTCTGGAGAGGGCCTGCCAAATCTTTCTGCTGCTCAGTTCTCGATGTTCTTGCATTTTTGTGTCAGGTTTGCGTGGGGCATCAACTACACGCAGCTCTCGATGTACCGCCACACTGAACCTCATGAAGGCACGAGAGGATTGTCCTCAGATTGTTGTTGACCTCTCCAGGCATTCCCACCCTTCTGCCCGTGCTCCTGCCGACTCTCTCCGTCTTGCTCTTCTGCCCTTCGCTGTCACTACCCAAAATGCTAAGCTAAAGTCAGGCTGACTCACTCGCTTGGCGCACATCCTGCTGATGCACTCTTTGTCTGACTGTCACTCACACTGCTGTGTTCATGATATCTGGTAACGCTTGCGGTCACTCGTACCTATGCTCGTTCCCTCTCTCTTGCATGCTCTCCCACCAGAGCGAACACGTGAGCTCAAACGGCGTTGAGGACACATTTTGCATTGCTCGTCGGGGCCTTTAGACGATCGGGGCTGGATCAGCAACACCAAGCCCGTTCACCTGCAATAGCTGGCACGCCGGCCGCATGTATGACGGCCCTTGGGAGAAGGTAAAACAAGGTATATTGCAGCTCCGCGCCCTCTCCGTTAGGCACTGCTCTCGGAACCGTCGCCCCCATCTCTTTGCATTTTTGCCGTCCATGTCGCTCTCTCTCTCTCTCTCTCTTTGTCTCTCCCCTCCTCTCTCTATCTCTGTCTCCGCATCTTTTTTTTTCCCTCTCTTTCTCTCTCTCCCCTGCAGTTTGCTTTCACTCTTCTCGTAACTTGCTTCTTCAGTTTTGTTTAGATGTTTTGAATCTTCGAAGGCTACGCGGTGTTGCGGCGTTGGGCCACGGAATTGAACAAGCCATACTATGTATGGACATCGAACATTGACGGAATGTTCGAAAAGGCCGGCTTCACTTCAGAGAAGGTCGTGACGTGTCATGGTGACCTACATCACCTTCAATGCGTAAAGGACCGAAGAAGGTGCCCCAGCTCCAAGTGCAAGATTCTCAAGCACCCTTGGGCTTTTAGCTCCTGCTCAAACACTTGCAGCTGAGGTGTAAAGGGCTGCAGGAGGATAGCTCCGACGAAGTATGGCCAGCTGCGGTGATCCCTGATGGACTGGAAGCTGAAATTGACCCTGGGGCCCTCCATCTCAAATGTGCCAACATGAGCCTGAGATGCGTGGCAAGAGCTGCGAGACATTTTTGGGATTTCTAAGGCGCTGCGTTTCCGCGACCCAGAGCATTTGGAGCGTGACTGCATCTTGTCCTGCTTTGAGTCTTCGCAATTTGTCCCTAAACTGTATAATCTATAAATCCTGCACTGCGCCCCTCATCTTCAGGTTGTGGCTCCCGTGTTGAAATTAAGAGCCTTCAAAACAGTATCTGAGGCTTTAAGTGTCCTCGGTGTGGTTCCCTGGCAAGGCCCAACGTGCAGAGCTTAGTGTTTCAATTTGGCACAACGTCTATGTCATCTCAGGGTCAAGACGTTCACTCAGGTGTGGTTTTGCCACGACAAAAATTACAATGTGGCTGAAGCCGCAACCAGTGAGTGTTAGCGAGCCTGCAGCGTTGTTGTTCTTTGTCGTTGTTGTTGCTGCTGCTGAACCAAAGAATCATGCACGTCACGCTGGAGTTGTGATAATTGTTTTTTTGGTGTGACTAACTGGCATGCAAACGGTCTTTAGCTTTTTCCTTGCTTAGCAGCATCTAGGCTGCTTGGGACTTGACATTCCCACCGTTCATTCAAAATGCAGTTGTGCTTGTCGCCAAGGGGCCAAGAAACGTGATGCGTAATGGCGGGCCTTCATTGTGTGACCAAGGCATCCATCAAGAGTATGGCACGCAGCGACGAGTACAATCGGCCTGCAGCTTACATGTTTGGGCCAGACAGTCCTGTTGTGTGGCAGATGTCCCAACCTCAGCCAGGTGGCTGTGGAAGCTTCAGGAAGAACAGGCCGCGATTGTGGTCGTCGAGTGTGGAGGTGGACTGGCAATCCCAAGTGTCCGCGTACAGGGTGAGGCTGGATCTACGTGGTCATTTTTGATTACTTTCCTCGCTCCATTTCCCTATGCACAGGATGCAGTGGATGGCGGGGGCAAAGGATCCCGTCTAATACGGATAAATCCGGTCCACTGCAAGGTGCTTTGCTGCAACAGCACATGTGTACTTGCAGTAGTTCTCTGCCTGAACTGTCCCGTACTAGATGTGATGAGGTACCGCCCACGTGCGGAATTGGGATTCCCATGGGAAGCATGGAAGGACGTGCAGTGTCACTCGGCTCCTTGGTTGCTGGCTGATTCAGATGTGTGGACGTGCGTGCAGGACTGAAAATGTTAGATGCGGCTCTCAGAAAACCAGCTGGGAGCACTGCCGCGAAGCATGCAAAGGCAGGGCCGACATGTTTTGCTCTGGCTCTAAACACAAGCTGTGCCTGCATGTGCCTGCAACTTCCAGGCGAGAGCAAGGAAGCCATCTCCAGTGCCGCGAAAAACGTGTAAGTCATGAACAAGTGACGCTATCAGAGGGCCGCGCTGAAGAGCAGTGCGGCCGCGATGACATGGCGAGCAAAGACCGCAGCCCTGCACGCTGTCCAGACTCAACATGGAAGCAGAGATTGCATGTTCCCAGCCTTAAGGATTTTTCCAGCCGGAACTATGTTTCGTCTGGTGCGGATGTCACGAACAACGAGCTCGGACCTTGAACCGGAGGCGGCTGGCATGGCAGAGCAGCACAGGGCACAAGCACCAATGCTGCGGGGGCTCATGTATCATATGTATCATGTTGCGAGGCGTGTCCTAAGGGCTCGGCCATGCAGTGGCCAGTCACTGTAATCGAGCTGGCTGCCACCGATCCACGACCTGAGGACCCTGCGATCAGGGTGCTGACTGTCGCCATTGAACTCGTATCCTGCAGGCCTTCTTCGTCCTGGAGCGACGGTCCAGCATGCTTCCGGAAGAGCTTCAGGCAAAGACTATCCCCTTGGCATTTGCGCTGTCCTTTGTGGTATGTAGGACGCACTTCTGTCTTGGGCAGCCGAGGTCACAGGCGCTTGCTTGATCTGACCTGTAATGCAGTGTAAGGAACTTCATGGTTTGGTTTTTCATAGAGATGGCAAGGTGTGGCCAGGCAGCAGCGCATTCGAGATGCTGCCGCCTGGTTCTAGTCTCAGCGGCACAGGATTTGCTAGAAAGTTGCTGCTTATGGCTCACTCAGCTACACAGTTCATGTTTGAGGCTCTATCGAAGTGCTGATGAGAAGGCAGGTTCACTTGCAAGCAGCTTTCCAGCTTGGACATTTCTACGTCTCCAAGGCAGCAGATGCGTTGTTGGAAAGGCCGATCCCATGGCATCGCTCGGGTTCGCTAGGTCTTGTGAGAGTGCGTTGGCGTCCTTTGCGCTCTGTGCGTTCAAGGTCGCTGCGGCCTGAGACCTCGGACGCCTTAGAAGTGGTAGACGAGGACGTGGAGGACGTGGTTGAGGAGGCAGCCTCTGTCTGAGCATGTCAGCAGACTCAGCAGCAACTCGCAACTCGCCCGTACAGGAAAGGCCGGTAATACACTCTCTCGACCGCCGGCGCTTTATGCTCAGACCCATGGCCGGAGCAGCATGTGTTTCTGGAAGGGAGTACTGAGCACGTTCCGCTCTGTGGCTGCAGGTCTTCGGAGTCTGCCCGGGCGAGGGTAGGAAGGACGCAGTTAGGACTTGTTAATGACCTTGTGCTTGTGCTGAACATCAGCTGCAAAGCATTCATCATTTTCACAAGACTCTGGACCTAATAGGGATCTGGAGGTTTAGAAAGCTGAAGAGGCCATGCATCACCTTGCCCGCCATTTCTTGCCACCACCTTGCATTGCGAGCAAGCTAAAATACAAATGCTATCTTGCTCAAGGGAATCTTCACCACGTCAGTCGCGAATTCGGAGCTTGCTCTCTCCAAATCAAATTCACTTCATGAGCAAGATGCAGGATTGCAGTCATCCCAGCGAGTTCAGGCGGAGAGCATTCATCAAGCAAGATTGTTGATAGACACAGCATGAGAGAATGGCAACCTCTAGCCGAAGGCTCAGGTGACCGAATAGCACCGCATGCATTCATGTCGGTGTTTAGCGTCTGGCTGAGGCATAGACAGTCGACCTCCATTCTCCTGGCCGCAAGTCGCAGCTGTTGCACGTAGATTCGGTGATCTTGAACTTCAGAAGCAGCGGGCCCTGTCAAACGTTGTTTGCAGCTTGAGAACCACGTACCACCGTGGACGAGGCCGCTGCCATCTGAGCGGGACCTGAATTTCCTGCTAAGGCAGGCGCTCTTGCCCAGGCAAAATTGATGCCGCAGAACTGCTCCTGTAGGCCGAAAAATGGCAGCGAGGCATTGCACGTCTTCGTGTGATTGTGCCATGTTGTTCTGGACTCCATGAACTGCTTTCTCCAACTGCATCTCAGGGTGAGCTCGTGGTCTTCAAGGTCCACAACCCAGAGGATTCGAGAGAGTTTGTTGAATGCCAGACTGGGCCTTGGCATTTGCACTCAACAACCAGTTGATTGCATCGGCCCCGCATTCTTCAAGGTGCATGGCTCTGGAGCATGCGACTCTGCGAGGAGCAAACTGCCAACGTCTGTTCCTGCCTCACCGTTCCACAGTCACCATGAATGCATCCTGCTTCTGGCACAGGTTGCGATCTCAAGACACGCAAGAGGCGCTTTTGACAATAGACCTTCCCGGAGAAGGAGCGGCGCCATGGCGCATCTGCGGGAAAGAATTGCTATGTAAGAGCGAGCCCACAGTTGCCTGCAGAGGACCTCGCTTCAGCACGTGCTTCTGCAGGGCATTGTCTTTTCTGCTCGGACCTGGAGACTCTGCTGGCACTTGGCACTTGTTATTTCCCTGTTGAAGTACCAAGGCCAGGGCAGATGCTTGCTGAGGCGGCCAGGGAGGCGCGGCATGCGCGGCAGAGAGGCTGGCCATGGCTTTTCAGTGTGCTTTGACAGTTGGAGGCAGCAGATAACTTCAAGCTGGCATCGTTGTTCGCGGCTGTTGGTGAGGACACGCGCTTGCACAGCAGAGTGGAGTTGCAAGATTCTGGAAGCCGCCAGGCCGTTGGAAGCGTTACGGCAGTGCTGATCTCAGAAGTGTTTGTGGCAATTTGCAATCAATTGCAACTGCTGGACCAGAGGCTCTGGTGGATTTTGAGCATCGTGCCGCAGAACGAGAATTCGTAGCAGCCCTGCTTCCTCTTTCCGCATCTCTAGCTGGCCAGTCAGCTTGGTTTTCCCTGTTGGGGCCCAAGGTATGGGACCTTCAGCAATGCTTCCACGTTGTAGAGGCACATATCAACGACGTGGAGGAGATGCGTGAGAGCAAAACATCTGACAACGGAAGACTGGTCTGCGGTGCTTGCAGGATCATCGTCAAGACTTGGTCCGGCGAGCGCCCCCGAAAGCCCTAGTTCTCGGAATCTGGAATCCAACCCTGCCAAGCCCGGCCGTGTTCCGGGTTGTTATTGGTCAACGCCGCTTACTCACAAGAGCTTGTGTAGCGAGGGTTTCGTTTCTATCTGCTCGACCAGCGGGGCTTGTGACTGGTCGGAAAGCAGAAGCCAAATGGTTCAAACTAAACGACATCAGCCCACCCATTCTTTTCGCCCTCGTAACGTTTTATCTATCACCAAGTAGCTCATTGGCATTCTACAGCGACCTAAGTCGACATTCTTTCATGTATGATTCAGTCTACCATCTAGAATTGCACTCTGCATTTTTATCATCCGCATTCTCACCCTTATCATCATCCTTGCAATCCTGCTCCTTCTCATCCTCCCAATTATCATCGTCATCCTTCCGTAATCGTTCCCATCCCCATCAAACTCACCTTCGATCTTTCGGCTCATGTAATCTTCATCATCATGTAGCTCCATGAACACATCGCTCTGAGCATGAGCATCAACGCCGGCATCCGCAATTCTTTGCCGCAGTTTTACTCCTATCATGGTCAATCCACTTTTATTTCAAAAGCCTATCATCCGTCAACACCTTCATGATGCGCATTGTTCGTGTGCAGTACCATGTCCCAGTGCTGTGGCCCGCAAGTTCTCTGAATGCTCAAAGACTTCTTGCCATTCTTGGCCCCGGTGATAGGGTCCTGGTGGCACTGGCAGCCCTGCTGGCTGCTGAATCCTGCCTTTGGGCATAACTTGCTTCATCTGGGCTGCTGGTGCGGAGGCATCTTCATGGGGCCGCGTATCTCAGTGAAGCGCAGGGCAGTTGCAGCCTGCCTCCTGCTGCTGCAGTTGCGACATCTGTTGCGACCCTCGTTTTTGCCACATCCGCTGCATTTGCGTAGGTGCACGCCTTAGCAGTGTCGGGGCTTGGGGCTCCTGAGGAAAGCAGCTATCCGCCAATCGGAAGGTTCCTGTGGGGTGCAGCCAAGTGCCGAAGGAGGAGTTCTGAAGCTACGATATCTGGTTGCAGAAAAAACCAAAGTGCAATTGCCTATGGGAATCGGGGGCTGCACGGGAGGGGGCGGCGACGGACGTATCGAACCGTGTCAGATAGCCGCCAATTTTGCTCCAAACTCGGAGGAGAAGGAGTTGTTGGTCGCATTCCACATTTCGGTGCGACAGCAGTCGGACAGAAAAGCCACGAAGTCCAATAGAAGGTTGATTGTGATGCCCAAACTGCAGGAGTTGAGTGTTGAGGTGGAGGCGTGAGGCTGCAGGAGTGTATGCTTCAGCACTCAAAGGCCGAGGGTTCGGGAGAAGCGGATGGCGCCGAAAGCTCCAACATGGCCCTTACGGACCAGCTGGCCGAGATGAATTTGGAGAGACTTTGCCGACTTCGTGGGTCGTGTGAGAAGTTTGGACCAGCAACATCCAGCAGCAGGTCGTTGCTCCAAGCAGGGAGGCCACCACGTGCACTGGCGCTGATGTGAACGCCTTGCCTGGTTTGAGAACTTCTGGTTTCCGTGATTGTGCCGGTACGGGTAAATCCATGTCTCATGCCAAACGCAAAGAGTCCACATCTGGCTCAGCGCGGCCTGCGTGTTCCAAGTTGAGGGGGGCGAGCTGGCGGCCGAATCATACACTCAGGGGTCCGAGGCTGTCGTGAAACAGCTTGAAACAAATCCTGCTGCTCTAAGCCACGCTTTGCAGGCTTTGGAGGGTTTTGAAGTTGAGAAGCTTGCAGCACCGTGTCATCACGACGAGCGTGGTGGAAAAGATGGCTTGAAGTTGCCAACATCAAAATTTCATTTTCTGGACTTCAAAAAGACTTCTCTGGTTGGCAGTGCAGATGGTATCCTCCGTCTGGAAGTTTCCCATGATTTTTTCGAGCTCTCCCCTTTGTGGATGCCCCATCAGCACTGGAGAAATGTTTAGTTTGGTGGAGGGACAAGACGGCGCTCACGAAGCAGCGCGCCCACCCAGCCCAGCCCACATGATATTTTGAGATCACACTCGCAAGTCGCCAAGACGGCGAGAACCCCCATGGCTTCACCCTGAAGCACCAATCTCGCTTGCTGCTGATCTCGGGAATGCTCGGGACCATCCCTAGACCTGCCCTGCAAGCGCGGTGGACGACAGTCCCATCCCCTTCATTTCGGGCAGGGCGGCGTGCTGCAGTGAAACAATTTGGCCTCCGGCCAAGAGCACGAAATGGTTTCATATCATCAAGCATGCTACAGATAAGAGTGGCATCAATGTGATCCCCTTGACGCAGGGGCCCCACAAGCCCACGGACTAGTCACACAAGGCCTGACGTGCATTGGTGGCAGCAATCATGAGGCCAACCTAGTTAGGACGACCCCCTCCTGCAGTACATGAAAACATTGCCTCGCGCGTGAGCACCAGCATCAGCATCATCAGGCGATGTTCTTCCTCCGTCATGCATGTGCGCAAACTCCATCCATCCTGGCATCCATTGCCATCACTGTGGACGCTAGCACTAGTGCGATCTGTGATGTGTCTCGCGCATCGACATTATCTATTGTTCCCTATGCTCATGCTACGGTATACTGCTGTGCTATTTTCATGTCATCCCCATCATTCTGCTGGTTGTGGTAGTGCTGGCAATCCTGAAAGCCACTGCTGCGGTCTTGACAGGGCTCTGTTTGGCATCACCACGCAGTACTACGTAGTCCCCTGGTTCTTGCGGGCTCTGTTGCCGTCACCATTATCATCATGGTGATGGCTCACATCTTCAGCCTTATCTTTCTTGTCTTCTTCATCGATTGTTAGTAATTGCACCTCGTAGTCATTTGCGTCATCTTCACCTTCCGCGTCATTGTCTTTGTTGTTGTTTTCAGTCGCGTTTTTGGCCAGATTCTCATTTTCCTCTTCATCCTCCTGAGCAACCCCGCCATTGCCAGTCGCGTCACTTTTCATATTGTATCTACTGCATCAGTGTTCACTCTCGGCTCCGATGCTATCTCTCAAGTCAGCGCTCAGACCTCCAAAACGGGTAGACGTTCCCGTGGTGCCAGTGTTTAATCTATTGTTTGCAAAGATCACATCCCCAATTTGGTTTAGCATACCTTCCCGGTGCAAGGGGGTAACTCTTGCGCAAACAAGCGCGTTTGATCCGCGAGGTACTGGATGCGCAGCGTAAAGAGCTGATGTGCCTACTCCCAAGACTGCGCAGCATGACTCCCAGTTGACTGGATGCAACCTCATCCTTTTGCGAGCGGCAGTTTTTGCAG